CAACGAGGACACCAAGGATGAGGACAACGAGGTAGATCAGGAAAAGCGAGTGGAATATGCAGTGTTGGATGATTTAGAAGATTTTACAGACAATTTGATGGAAATAGATGAAGCAGCAGGGTTTACACCTAAGGCCATCGTTCAGCAAGACAAAGTGGACGAAGAAACCTTGAACTATTCTTACGAGGTAATTACGGGGTTGTTTTTTTTGTTTCCAGAGTTTGGGTTTGAGAAGAAAATTGTGGATATGTGGCATTTCTGTAGCATTTATTTTAACGGGGGGGGGGGGGGGGTAATGGAAATAAAACTTGGGCTTGAAGCTTAATCATAGAGAAGATACAGATAGTCCTTGACTTACGACCTCAATTGAGCCCACACTTTATGTGGTTAAAGTGAGACATTTGTTAAGTGGGTTTTACCCCGTTTTACAGCCTTTCTTGTTAACAGTTGTTAAGTAAATCATTGCAATTGTTAAGATAGCCGGTTGTTAAGTGAATCTGGCTTCCCCATTGACTTTGCTTGTCAGAAGGTCGCAGAAGGGGATCACGTGACCCTCTGCAACCGTCATAAATAGGAACCAGTTGCCAAGTGTCCAAATTGTGATCACGTCACAGCAAAGACGAAAAAGTAACTTAACAGCTGATTCTCACATTTGCAGCCTTCACGGGTCTATTAATCAAAGGAAAGCTGAAGGAAGGTGATAAGCCAAATTGCAGATTCACCTTGTAACTGCTTCGCTTAATCACCAAGTTGTCTGTCCCAGTGGCGGTTGCTAAATGAGGACTCGTCAAAATGTTGGCTGCAGCTAAGCCATCAAATCTTCCTGAATTATTACAGAGCTGTCCAGCTACTCACCACTGCTTGAAACCTCACCCCCCCCCCCCCGATATAATCTGAGTTGCAAAAGACTTGGGCAATTTGTAGATCTCTGCAGCCGTACCTGTCTTGTCGGGGAATGAGGAGAATAATTAAAGGGTGCGTTATGTACCTGACAGTCTGCTTTTCAGGATGAATTTGATAATGACGTGGACGCTCTCCTGGAAGAGGGCCTTTGCGTTCCCAAAAAAAGGAGGATGGATGAGAAATACAGAGGGGAAAGCGACCATCAGTCGGACGGAGAAACGACTGTGCAGCCCATGATGACCAAAATCAAAACTGTTCTTAAAAGTAAGCTATCGCAACGAGTCGCACACCTAGTTGCCCGTGTCCATCTCAGTTTCTCTTAATTTAAGAGGCTGGCTCTCTTCCTGTTCACCTCTGCCTGGAACAACCAGCGTTTCTCTGAGGGAGGTGGGCGGTTAAGACGTGTGAAAAATAAATAAAAGATAAATTTTGGTCCACGCCCAGAAGAAACACAAGAGTTGTTCCGGGTGTGAGCCAAACCACCCGATTCAGGCAGCTTTTCTTTTACACGTAGAACAATTGACCCACAGAGGATTCTCCACACACCCTTAGCTGTTTTTAGCTGGGGTTTCCAACCTTGGCAACTTCACGACTTGTGTACTTCAACTCCCAGAATTCCTCAGCCAGCCGTGCTCATGGGGGAACTCTGGGAGTTAAAAGTCGTAAAGTCTCCTGTTTGGGAGAAAAAGGAAGTGTTGATCAATTTCAGCTGGCCTACCAAGAGAGGTTTCTTCAACCAGCATCTGAGGAACCTCAAGCTTCTTGCTAGCTTGATGGTTAACCAGGGAAGCTGGATGCCCTTCTGTTTCAAAATAATAATTGAAAGGTTTGGACACTAAGCAGTGCCTCAGCGTGTTTCTTTTCCCAAGGTCGTGGTCGCCCTCCTACAGAACCGTTGCCTGATGGATGGATCATGACATTCCACAACTCGGGCATCCCAGTGTACCTGCACAGAGAATCTCGGGTGGTCACCTGGTCCAGACCTTATTTCTTGGGAACAGGAAGCATCCGGGTAGGATTTGGCATTTCACCCCTTTAGAATTTTAGCACGGCTGGTAGAGACTAGAGCAGCGTACACGGGGGAAGTGACAGGTTGACTTGCTAGCCCAGCTCTCACCTTTGAAACTTGCCAACTGTGTTGCAGAAACACGACCCTCCTGTGAGTAGCATTCCTTGTTTGCATTACAAAAAAATGAAAGAGAACGAGGAGAGGGAACAAAGCAACGACATCACCCCCAACGGGGAGGTTTCGCCCGTAAAGCTGACGGAGAAATCCCTGGAACTGGATTGTCAGACGGAGGAGCCGGACTCTACGGCAGCCGATTCTGGAACGCCAGAGGAGAAAGATCTGTCCGGGGGTGACACAGCCCAAGGAGCTTTGGGACAAGTGAAGGCCAAAGTTGAAGTGTGCAAAGATGAATCCATAGGTGAGGACCTGTCATTTACCGTTTCCAGGTAGGCCAGATCCTGCCAACTCTCGTTATGCACCAGTGATCAGCCCTCTTGCTGTCGCTTGTGTGCATTAGGTGTCCCACTAATGTACATTATAAGTCGAACAAGAAGCAGTAGATGGAAAATAATCAAGGAGAGAAGCAACCCAGAATTAAGGAGAAATTTCCTGTCGGTGAGAACAATCTAGTCAGTGGAACAACTTGCCTCCAGACGGTGGTGGTGCTCCATCACTGGATGATTTTAAGGGCAGCCACTTTTCCAGGGAGTTGGACTAGAATAGAGGTCCCCAACCTTTTGAGCACCAGGGACTGGTGACATGGAGAGAGATTTTTCCACAGACTGGAGGGCGCATGGTTTTGTGTGCTGCCTGCATCCTGTGGATGGAGCTTTCCTTGTTTGTGCGGACTGGTTGCTGGCATGCCGCAGACCGGTACTGGTCCACGGCCCAGGGGTTGGGG